GTACTCTGTGCGCATAAAACTGCATCAAAGCTCCATACCCACCAGGGCTTTCTAGCAGCACTGGAGGCAAGTGATTTGATAGGAGTCATTCCCCCCATCCCTCCATCCCATCTTGTGAGGGCCACTCACAAGCAGTGCACGATCGTCCTCCCATCACCGCTTTCCTTCTGCCACTTCTCCACTTGGGCCAGTAGGTGCAGGAAAGACTTCTTGGAGTCTGGCGTGTCTCTGTATGCTGACCACCTCAGGTACTGGAAATGCCGGACCATCAGGTGTCCTTCCTGTAACTAGAAGAAGCCCATCAATTTACACGTATGACTGCCCTCTTTGATTTCCTGAGGGAGGCTTTGACGTGTGAGAAGAGACATTGGGAAGCATTAATATTTATACAAGAGAGGAAAATCAACCATTTCAGTTGTCTCCGCATCAGCTAGGCCACTTCATCTCCACCCAGACCTAAAGTGTCCTAGCCATCCCCATCAGCACCCCCAGACACACGCAGACATGCATCTCTGCTCAATGCACCTCAAGCTAACCAGTTACACCCCCTGCTATGCCAATCCCAGGTCCCCAACCTTACACACCTCAGTCCTCACTTGCAATCACACCTGGTCTTGCACTCACAGGTGCCAACTGACTCACACACAAGAGACACTCCAACAAATATTAGGCAGAGATCACCAAAGTGAATTCATGTGCATTCACTGTAAACCAAGGAGCTCTTGAAAACGAGCCATCCAGCAAGGAGGCTGAGTGGCAAGAATGTGCTTTAAAACCCTGATAATCTAGTTAGCTTTGGAATCTAATAAATTTAGCACGTTCCAGAAGGAGAAAGATTACATCTACAATGCCTTGAGCCCAGCCTTTAGCTAGAGGGTCATGGGACTCAATCCCAACACACAGGGTAGAGCTACTCTGGGAATCAAGACTGGCTTATGGAGCGAAACACTGGATCTAGCACTCAAGTTGTAGTTTATGACTTCACTGTCACGTGCACACGTGTGTGTGTGCACATGTGCATGTACACGTGCATGTGTGTTCAGAGGGAAACATGTGCCAGAGGAAAAAAGAAAACAAATGCAGCTTGCAAGATTCCCAGTAAATAACTCAGAATCAATCTGCTTTGGTTTTTAGATACCTGGCACATTTGAGTTGGGCAGTTTTGCTCTGCTTCTAGGGCTCGCAATGAGACATTCCTGTTTCCCTACCCAGTGGTTCAGGCTGATGGCACTTTTATATAGCACCTTGAATCCCACTGCACTTGGCAGAATCACATCGACAGGGCTAAGCAGGGCTTGCTTAACTTGTCACTGATGTGCCTGGAGGGTCCCCTTCCAACATAGATGTGAGTCTAGAGCAACACCAGTGATTTGTAGCTCTACACCAAGAGACATGACAGCAGAATTATAGTCCTTAGGGCTTAACTCCTCTCATTTTCTGTTACCCAGCACCTAGCATCACAGAAGCCCAGGCACACAAGAGCCCATCACCCACGCTACACAGGGCAACACCATGGTCACGCACGTGCACACACTCACAATACCCCAGAGCTCAACATTACAGTTATACACACATTACTCTCTGCAGAGACATGATTACAAAGCCCACACATGCTCTTCTGCAGGCACAGGGCAGCACTCAACAGTAACAATCAGAAACGCAGCATCAGTACATGCAAAGCAATTAATTTTCCAATATTAAAAGGAAAAGCATTTAAGAGAGGGGAATTGGCTCTGTCAGGATGGCAACATTTTAAAAAGCTGCACCGAATACAAGATAAAACTTTCCAAGCACAGATAACAGAAGGAAGATAAGAGAATTAAGAAGGCTCTTTCTGCTGCCTGGATTGATGATCCTAGCTGTTCATTTCACCCTGGGCTGCTTGCAAGTTCTAGAGTGGAGCTAACGTTGATTTTCACAGCATTTAGCTTCTTCTCACTAGCCAGTTCACACCCAGGGCAGCACTGTGGAGAACGACCTTCTTGCAGTGATTCTGGGAGATGCCTGCAAGATAGGTGCTGGTAGAGAGTGGATAGTTTGGAGGCATTCGGTACCCATTAAAAATAGTACCTATGGGCATGCGTAAATGAAATGGGGGCCCTAAATCAAAGTGGTGGATTTTTAAAAACGCCGCTTCAATTTAGGGCTGATTAAACCCCCGTGTCATGCACACACCCCACTGACTTACCTACCTCTCCAGCGGCGGGGAGGGGAGGGCGAGCTGCTCGTGGGTGGAGTGGTCCCTGGGCTGCAGAGGTGGGGAGCAGAGTGGGCTGGTGCTTCCCTCTGGGGCAGCAATTCCCTCTGCCCCCAGGCAGCACCCACCCATAGGCACCTGGCTCAGGCGGTCCCAGGGGACATCGCTGCCATTGAGGGAAGCACCAGGCCCCTGCGTAGCTCAGGCAGGCTCTGCGGGGAGGGGGGAAGATCAGGCTCACCACTTTTCTTGGGTGGAGCTGCTGCCAGGCTGCCTGCCTAGGCTGCCTGCCTGGGCTTCCTGCAGCGCCATGGAGTTTTAGTTTGCTGTGCCCTAAGTCATTTAAGGCGCATTACACCACCAAATTTCCTACAGCAGCTGGAATTAATGCGCAATTCGCCACCAAGGCGTGCAAACACCGATACCATTAAAGTGGTGCAAAAGCATTTAGCCCACTTTAAAGTGTTGTGCACACACGCCCCTTGTTTCATCTGCACACGGCCTGTGGCTTCAGCAAGGAAACGAGCATAAGGCTGGGGGAGCTGTTTCAGTATTGCCCCAATTACACAAGACAGCAACAGGAGAAATCAAAATGCACCTCTGACTTAACAAGCCCAACTGGTAGGCTCAGCTTCAACACATAAACGGGGCTACATTAGACTTGGGTTTGTTCCAAGGTATGGGTAAATGTTAGGGAGGGATGGACTTCTGGCAGGACTAAGTTCAGAGACCTATCAGAAAGACTGGATGCTTCTCTGAAATTTATTCTGACTTCCTTGGTCTCAAATTTAGGTCAGAAATCTGGCCAGCATAGGGCCCCTTACATTATCTCAGCACCTCCATTTCCAGCTGGAATCCAGACATGCATAGGTAGAATGATACAAAAGAATAAGTAAAGAGGACAAGAAAGGAAACTCCTTCAGGTGGCAACAAAAAAAAAGCTCTGGGATCCTTTTGGAGGTTTGTTTGAAGGTCATGATCAGCTTTAACAGGAACTGTCACACCAGGTCAGACTTGAAATCCATCTAGTCTAGCATCCTGTCTCCAACAGTTACCAGCCCCAGACACTTTAGGATTAAGCCTTCGTGTACTATTAATGGGCAATTATTGAATAATCTGCATACAGAGGAGAAGTGTCGTCCTAAATCCCATTAGTTCAGCCATCCCATATTTTATTCTAACCACAGGCATAGAGCTCTATCTAGGCTGACAAGCAGCCCTGTCTGTCTTGCTGCTGAGAATAGTTTCATCTTTCTCTCCATACACGCACCTTGTCTGTCTCTCTGCGGTGCCCCAAACTGCACAGCACATAGGCAAATGAGGCCAATGCACCCAGTTTTACTCCAAATTGTCTGTATAGCTCTGTTGAGGATTTACACTGTGCAAAACGCCTCCCCTGGGGGAAAAAGGACTGAGACATATTGTGCAGCTGCTCTAAGGTGCAAAACACGCATTCAGTGAAATACTCCCTCCTCACATGCACGAAAAGAGGCTTGAAGCTCCAGAGAGCCATGCTGGCCGATAGCCTTTCACTCATCAGGCTCCAAATGACTGGTCAGGTTGTGATGGAAACAAATTTGTCCTATTTAATCTCAGACCCCAGCCAAAAGCTCACCCCACCGACTGACCACACTGCCAATCACTCCCATACGCTTCCTTCTAAGCCTTGTTGTTCTGGCTCATCTGGTGACCTCAACAAACACACGAGGCTCACTCTTGTGATAACCCTTCTCCTGCTTAAAGATTTCAGTCATGTTACCTCTGCACAGCCTGCACTCACAGTTAAATAAGCCCATTCTTCTTATTCTCATCTCACAAGTAAGATCCTGTCCCCCCACATATTCCATTAATCACCCTGGCTGCCCTTTCTCCAACTTCGCTATATTTTCCTTCATGTAATGGTGAGCAGAGCCAGTCGAGCATGAAAACCAGGTGTGCAGTGAAAGCTGCAGACAGAAGTAAATGAAAGGCCATGTAAATCTTCCCTTTAGCCTCATAGGAAAGCTGTTTTGTCAGGTCCCCTGCAACTCAGATTATAACTGAGAGTTGCTGACCTCAGGGTAGGGTACATATCAATCACAGGCTGGAGCAAGGAGGACCTAGCTCAACACATGGCAGTGGGTCTGAGCTCACAAAGAGTTATCTGCTCCCACTTTCAGGCTTCTGCAAGGGGGCAGAGACTCAAGAAAGCTTTGAAGCTGGGCTTCAAGGGACTCATTGCTGGGAACAGAGGGTTGGGGTTACATCGCTGGGGCTGGGAGGCCTCCTAGGATGGTTATGGTATTCTAGGAGATGACTAATTAAGCAGAATGCTGTGCCAGCATCTAAAGGGGCATCCACCTACTATAACAAGAGAAACTAACGGTATACTTCAGTGGGATCCAACCTTTTTAGCACGTGTGCCACAAATTAGCCCTGCACCCTTCTCACATGCCACTCTGATCTCCTTCTGCCCAATTTGCTGCTCTGCTTTCTGCTCCATGCTCTGTGCTCCCTGCCTGTTCTTCTGCTCTGCCTTCTGCTTCCTGCCCTATCTGCTGCTGTGCTGCCTGCCCCCTCTGTCACATGCTACACACAGACTCTGTGATTTTCCTCATGCTATTCAGCTGAGGACTGGGGTTTCTTTTGGCAACATTTCTGATAGCTGATATGCACATGTCATTCTAGACCTCCTCCAGGGCATCCCCTTCCATCTCTAACACATGAGCTGGCAAAGGTAAGCTAGCTTAAGAGTCTGCCTGGCACAGTCCCCACAGAAGCAGCTTTTCCATGACTTCAAGATACAGCCTGGATCTCTGAGCTGAGAGACTGTCTCAGAGTGGTCTTAGCACATACTAGACACAGCTCCCAATGCCACATGTTTCCTCGTGCCAAGCTAAGAAACCGTTCTCACCCGTGTGATATTCTGGACTCGGAAGAGGCGAGAAACAAGGTCCTCATCAGCCGATCCGGAAACATATTCTACTTCCATAGGCCCGTACTGCTGGAGTCCTGGCTCAGGCCAGTACTGTAAACAAGGCTGAAGAGAGAAAAGAAACAATTACTAATAATACAGCTTTGCAGAAGGTGCGAGACATGGGACATCATGCAGAGGCATGTGACACTGGGCTTTGCACAGAGGCAGGGGGTTTTGGTGCATGACACAGGGTATGATGGAAGAGTGCCGGGAAAGGGTGTGCAACAGAGAGCTCCATAAAGGGGCACGTGACACAGGGGATTGGTTTGGAGGGCTCCGAGATGGGGTGCATAATGTGGGGTGCTGAAGACACTCTGTTATTACTTGCACAGTTAATAACCATGCTATGTAGAGCACATTGCTGGATGGAGGTGACCTTTATACACGGAGAAGTTGAAAGGCCCTCAGTTACAGCTGTGCAGCCCTCTTTGCACTTCAGCAGTGCAGGAGGTTGGGAACAGCTGCCTTCCTTGAACGTGGGGTCTCCCAGGAAGGGTCACCCCACTGTCTGGGCACAGCACTGGGTTTCAATTCTGAAGCTCACTGACATCAGTGAAACTAACTGTGAGTAAGAGCAGGAGAATGGGAAAGATGGACCCAATGGCATGGGTTTACCATGCCATTTACTAGCTCCACTGAAATCAAAGGGAGTTCTGCCATTGATTGCACTCAATAGCCAAAATCTTCTTCCATCCCTGGCCACCAGCCTCATCTCTGCACTGTCTCCTACTCCAAGAAAAAAGCAAATTCCAGCTCAGAAACAAGCTCAGCATCCTAAGGCAATGCTGATGCTCCAGGAGGGAGTTACTGAGTGTGATGGCTCCTGGATTTGCTCTCCCTCTCCCTCTCACCCAGAAGCACAGTTGATGTATTGTTCTATTCAAGGGTCATGGATGCGATTGTTTTCACACCACGGCAGCCAGGAAACCAGCATCAATACAAAATATATGATGTTTGTCATTGCACTTTAACAGAACATTTAGCATTTCAGGGCATCCAACGGCTCGGGCCTAACTGCATGGCAAATGTGTGTGAGAAATAATTGGTTATTAATAGGGGCTATAAATCTCCATGATCTCTAAGCTTTCTAGACTCCGAGCTATAATTTGGATATTAAAACTTCCTTCGGCGAGACATAGTTCAAGTGAGGGATATACCCTCTAAGTCACCTTTCAAAGCTGCCTGCTGTAAAGGCTGATTTATTGGCTGTTGGTCTTCAACTGGTAAACATTTAAGATCTGGCTAAATATCGTTACACAGACATCCCCGAAGAATAAATGTCCAGGGAGAGGCAGGGCAGCATAATGAAGAAATACGGCGGTCTCTGGGTTGGGAAGTGTGTGAGAAAGGTACATGCTTGCCATTGCAACTTACTGGAGACAGGGCAAGGGTTGGCCTTTATTCAAAGGGGAAAAAACAAAATGATGAGGCTCCACTGGCCATGCAAAGTGCAGCTGAAATGGAGAATGGGGGGGGCAAAGCACAAGGTAAGCAGGAAGGAGGGGAAATATAGGGGTGTCTGCAGTACTGCAAATCAGGCTCTGATGGGCTGGCAGAGGAAGGAGGGACTCTAATGTACCAGCAAATTTCTATGTCTCGATATTGAAACGTGTTCCTGGTTCACTTGTGATGTATTCAAGCAAGAGAACAGCAATGGCACGTGTGAAATAAAGCATTGTACACAACACTCCCTGTCCTTAGCACCCCATAAGTATTTCTGCAGGGGCTAACTTTAGCAAACCTAGCCCCTATGTTTTTTGAAACCTGGATGTATTGTCTGCTACCAACTGACGATCCAAAATAAATCCCCCTGCCTCTAAAATTCCACCGTGGGTGATAAGAAAGGTAACTGAGCAGGATTCTCCTCACTTCACACTGCACTGAAATGGATGGATACAACAAAAACCAAGGGTCCAATCCGGCAATGTACTAAGTGCCTTCACCTCTGATAGGAAACAGTGAAAATAGCAGCAGGGTGCAGGGCACAGGACCAGAGAATCTGACCTCTATCCCAGGTTCTGCCACTGACCTGTTGGGTGGCCTTGGGAAAGTCACCTCCCCCCTTTCTGTGTCTCAGTTTCCCCATCTGTAAAATGGAGACAGTGGTACTCACGCATTTCTGTAAAGCATTTCAAGACCTAGGGCTGAAATGTGCTATACAGGAACCAAATTACCCTCTCTTTTCCCCTGCGTCTCTCCAGCAGCAAGATCCAAAGGAAGCTAAAAAAAAGCTTTGGTCACAACATTGGGTTGTACAAAGACCTATGTTTCATTTCACAGATGTCAGAGATAGAAAAGGCCATTCACACTCCCACACGTGTCACCTGCCAGAGCAGAGCTGCTCAGTCCAATGCTAAGATGTCCACATGTGGTGGAAGATGTGTCACCTAGCAAACGAGACTGTGGACTCCAAGGAGCAGGAAACCAATGGGGCCTTGATGTATGGCTGTGGCTCTTGGGTGGTATGGTAATGCAAACAGTAATGGCACATTAATATTCATCTCCCTTAGGAAAGCATCTCAGCTCAATGGAGTCCCCTCCTAGAGCGTTCCTCAATGTTCAACTTCTGTTTATTTCCACCACATTTTAATGTCACACCTCAGTGTGTTGCCTTTGTCTTTGTAGAATCGGCTCGACTCTTCCAAATAAAAGTCAGTAAGTACATATACATGTAATGTCCGTAAACATGCATATATGTATATGTATACACACACACACACACACACACGCATATATTTCCCTCTAGTTAGCAAAGTGAGTGTGTCAGACAAGGGGAGAGTGTCACCTCATCTGGGACACCATTATTCTACTCATCTGCCTATTTCCCATGAACATTACAATTGCAGTTTTGGGTCATTTACATTAAGTGTATGATTTTAACTCATAAAATAATCCAGTTAATGAAGTCTTCTCCAGACATCCATTAAGAGTCTATAATGCTAATTTTATGTAAAAATCCAATAAGTTTCTTTGTCAAATTAACATTACAGACCTGTAATGGGCTCTTAAATCTGCTCTGGCCTCAGCA